CGGTGCCTGGCGGGCGGCCGCTGAGGGCAGGCCCGGTGCGGGCTCCCGCTCCGCGGCAGCAAGGCTGGGGACGGTGCTGGGGCGTCAGGCGGCCTGGGAACGGGGAGAGCGCTCGTGTGCGGGAGTAGTGAGGGGCCGAGCTCCAGCCCCGGGCATGGCGGAGACCCTGAGCCCCTGCACCCCACGGGGCCAGTGTCAGGCCAACATGGGCACCAACGCCTCCTCAGCCAATGCGGACAGCAACGCGTCCTCGGCTGCCTCCGCGCTGGTGAGCGGCAGCGCGTGGAGGGGCCGGGAGCCCTTCTCCATCTTCACCATCCTCGTCCTGACCCTGCTGGTGCTCCTGACTGTGGCCACCTTCCTCTGGAACCTGCTGGTGCTGGCGACCATCCTGCGAGTGAAGGCTTTCCACCGGGTGCCCCACAACCTCGTGGCCTCCACTGCGGTGTCGGACGTGCTGGTGGCGGCCCTGGTGATGCCGCTGAGCTTGGTGAAGGAGCTGTCGGCCGGGCGGCGCTGGCGGCTGGGCCGGGAGCTGTGCCTCGTGTGGGTCTGCTTCGACGTGCTGTGCTGCACGGCCAGCATCTGGAATGTCACTGCCATCGCCCTGGACCGCTACTGGTCCATCACCCGCCACCTGGAGTACACGCTGCTCACCCGCCGCCGCATCTCCAACGTCATGATCGCTCTCACCTGGGCGCTCTCCGCTGCCATCTCCCTCGCCCCCCTCTTCGGCTGGGGGGAGACCTACAGCCCTGAGCAGGAGCGCTGCCAGGTCAGCCAGGAGCCTTCCTACACCATCGTCTCCACCGGCGGGGCTTTCTACCTGCCCCTCTGCGTGGTGCTTTTCGTCTACTGGAAGATTTACAAGGCGGCCAAGTTCCGCATGGGGGGCCGCAAGAGGAACGCCGTGGTGCCCCTGCCCGAGGCTGCCCAGGTAAGGGTGTGGGACGGGGAGGAGAGCCCCCGCTGCCTCCCCCAGGCACCTGCACTCTTGCTTCTCGTCTGCTCCCAGCTGTCACCCCTGCATCGGTGGTTTCGGCACAGCAAGAAGACTGAGACGTGCCCTGGGGCTCTTGTGTGAATTTAGCTCTGTTACAGACTGGACGTGAGCGGTAATTAGCCAGTCAAAAAGTGCCACTCTTGGAGAAGAGTTTTATTCACATTTTTTTCTTAAGTGTGCTATAAAAGTAAGTGACAGGTGCATTCACTGCCAGTCTGGAGAGCCATTTAAAAACTGCCTCTTCAGTCTGAACCTACCATTCATTGTTTTTATTTTTCCTCTTTATCTTTGTACAGCGGTGTTGGGGTAAGCAAAGACATAAACAAATTCCTAGGTCATGTACACAGTAAATGCATGCACATTTATCTGCTGGCACAGACTTTGTGTGGGATCTATCAGTGTCTGAATAGATTTTAATAAGCAGATTATACACTTTATTTATGTGCTTGTGCTATTTTACCATGAATAGTGGGAACATACTGCTCACTACATAGTATTGAAGCAATGAATTGTTTCTATTTTAAAATTACCAGCTGTCTTAAAAAACATGTCCTCTTTCTTCTTATCCCAAACATTGCCTGCAATCCTGCAAAGCCCAAGTCACGTGGGAGGTCTCATTCATTTTGGGGATACACCTAGCTGAAGGGAAAGCTGCCTCCCTGCAGAAGGGTTGGGGTTGGCCCTTTGTGTCCCATTAAGTCAGGCTCTCTGCATGACAACACTGTCACCCATGCCATGTCACCAAGGTGCTCGGCAGTGCTCACTGTAAATTCCCTCTTCTTTCTGTCACATACCCTGACTCTCACTCCTCACTGTGGAGGAACTGATTCTTTATAGTGTGTTTCTGTTATTGCATGTTGTACTTGCTAAATCCAGTCCCTTCCTCAATAACAAAAGATGATCTGTGTGGATGTTAAAGATACATAAGGAAACATGGAGCATTTTCTGTTCAATTTGGACTAATCCTGCAGAGCCTCACTACTCTGCTAAATCCCTCTAACTTTGATTTGGAGTCACGGTAGGAAATGTTATTATGGTAATGAATAAAAGTAGGTTGTGTCCCCTGATTCTAGCAAGAGATAACAGCACTGGCAATTATGTGGTCAGACTTGCAGATTTGGGTCCTGATGTCTTGAAGATGGTTATAATATAAATCGATTTATGAAGCTGTCTTCTATGCAAAAGCAGAAAATGTGTTAGAAAAGATGAGAATGTCTCCTCTAGTGGCATTCTTTTTTTCTCCTACAGCCTTCAACTGCTTGTTTGCACCAAATTTCTTTCCAAGTTGTTATAAGTGTGATGAATGTATTGCTTGGCGTTAATGTGTAATCTTCCCAAGCAGAAAAGCTAACTGAATATTTACAGTGGGTTTGCATGCTTTACCTTTTACATACACACATACTCATACAGGACTAGTTGGAATCTAAAATTCTGGGAAGCTAAATGAGCTGAGGTGTTGCTGTTTAAATTTTAGCCTATACAGAGACACATTGTTGGTACGTTAGTTTTAACATGAAAAAGTCTGGCTCCTAATTGTCTTAGTTCTGTCTGCAAAAGCCCTTGTGTGGGCACAGCTAGACTGGCAGGTAAGTGCTTTTTGCTGATGCGGTATCTGGGAGCGGGGTTTAGGCTATACTGACAAAAGAGCTCCTGTCAGTGTGAGCTGAATACCCATTTTGGAGGGGATGCCAGTATAGCTGTTATTGCAATACCAGCAGTTCTTCATCTTTATTATATTGGCAGTGATTGACATATTAACTTCTCCTTTTATAACAGTGATTCTTGAATCTGCAATTGGTATATAGTGGCAACCTTCCCCATTGTCCCAGCTTCATTTGCTGACTTACTTAAATAAAAAGACTTTTGTGATTCATGTGCAAACCTTTACTCATCATCTGAAGGAAGAGCTGATCCCCAGCTGTACACGTGTACGTTAACTGAACCTGTGGATCAAGGGAGCTGGCATTCAGGATGCCTTTCTTCTTAGTTTTCTTTCTAAGTTAAGAGACTGAGACTTACTCACCGAGTTTTATCCTGATCTCATTTAAGCTTATAGGAGCAGGATCCATCATGTCCACAGGAACAGTAGCAGTTCCCCAGTGAATTCTGGAGAAGAATCTTCAAACACATCACTACTGTTCCTGTGGCAAAACCCTTTTTTTTTTTAACATGCATACACAAAGATAACATTGCCAGGGTATGTGGCAAACCTAGTGACGTGATCCAGCTTTGCTTCTTCACATCCAGGGGTAATTAGGCTGTCAGTGTCAGCACTGCCATCTCTGATGGGGCAAATTCTGTTCCACTTACCTCGTTTTGCCCATCAACTCATTCTAATTTTCCATTTCTTTCTCATCTGATGTCTCTCCTACCTTTACTTTCTTTCATCCCTTCCTTTTCTGAGAAGGCTCACCTGTCATGCTCACCCTTGCAACATTTTTCTTTTGTCACTGTTACTCTGGGTGTGAAGTCCCCTCTGCATCTGTGTCAGTTCTTACCCCAGGTGCCCTGCACTAGCTGATCTGCGTAACATTAGAGGGGCTTTTGGCAGCAGATGCCAAAGGCTGGCAGTGCTTCCAAGGCTGGAGGTGAGTAGTAACAGCTGTGATCCCTGCTGGGAGTGACGTCTGTGTTGCACTCGGGAATTAGCTGTCAGGTAGCGCTGGATTGGAACTGTGTGCCAGGGCTGCGGTTTATGGCCTGAGGTCTACCTAGCAGTGTAGCTGGTTAATTCTAGCAAGTTAATTTAAGGAGGAAAAGGTTTGAGGTCGTAGTACTCACATGCAAGTAGAAATGCCTTGACGAAACCAATGCACCAAGTGAAACAGTTGTGATGGTACCTTGATGTTTTTGCACGGTGCTTTTCAGCCAACAGAGCCAGGCACCAAAGTGCTTTGCAGGTTGCCACTGTGTATGTATATATATACATATATATATATAAATACAGGGAAAGGGCAGTTGTCTCCGAGCTGAGAGTTGGAATACATACGTTATGTTTCTATACTTTTACAGAGGTGCAGAATAGAATAGTTACAAAATAACTATTTTGAGTCATTTTGGGTTAAAATTTTACTTGTGTTTTTTGAAAAACACTTTTTAAAGTCTTTGAAAAAAATTCAGGTGAGGGAGATGGACATGAAACATCTGAGGTGCTTCTAGTTTTAATGAGACCTTGTTTCTTACTTTCCCTTGAAACAAAAATATTGCAGAATTGGGACCCTAAATTAGGCTGGTGCCTTTCTAATTATTTATTTGCTAATTATGAAACTCCTTAAAAAGTGAATTCTACAGTCAATACTGACGTGACCCTCATAATAAAACTAGTGACATACCATCACTGACAGAGAACTATACTCTGTCACACCTTGCTGACAGTAGGTAATAATTCTCTCTGTAAACAGTCCAATTGAAATAAATGAGACTGCTTGAAAAACAGCAGAATCTGCTGGATAGTGCCCTTTTAAATCAATGAAGTCACTTGTAGCATAGGTTTTGCCCAGCAAAACCAAGGATGGTAGACTGAATGTCAGGATTACTTAGATGTAGCAATGGCAGTCAGGGTTAAATTTCCATGTGAGGAGTTAAAAAACAGTTCTGTTGATGGTTGGGGTTTTTTGTTTTGTTTTTTTTTTTTTCTTTCTCTCCTCTCAAAGTACTTTGTATAGTGTATGAGTAATTAAGCCTGATCCAAACCTTATCAGTTTTGTGAGAGTCCTTCCCACTTCAAATAGTATCAGGCGCCAGAGCTCCAATTGTGCAGTGTTATTCTGCACCTGGCCTGTTCAGCCCCTCCAACCCATGTAAATATTCAGGACAATATGGGAGAGAAAACAGATTCTCCTCTAAAGGAGTCACAGGCCTTCTATTTCTTATTTCTCCCTCTGACTGTACAAGTAGAAGAGATGGGTCAGGAAACAAAGTGCAACTGTCTGGAAGAGTGACAACAGATGACAGAAAGGAGAAAGGTGAGGCAGGAAGTGGAGTGGCTAGTGATTTCCTGGGAGAAATGCAGAGCTATTTACAGCAGAAGAAAATCCTGTGAGAGAAAGCAGGTGTTCTTTTCCCTATCAAATGTCCTGTTTGTCATATTGGTGGAGCATCCAAGAAAGTGTAGACATTCCTCTGTTTTGATCCTTGTATATGGATGAGTTAAAAGATGGGATTTTGGTCTGTGGATGAACACTAGGGGAGAGGTAGATAGCTGAGGAAAACACAATCAGCACAGAAAATGGATGGTTTGTTGCCTGTTGCTTGGAATGCTGACCACAGAGATAAGAGAGCTGAGCAGTACCAGGGGAGGACGGGCAGCAGGCTGTTGCACAGCACAGTTATGTGCATGACTGGCACGTCACTGCTGGATGATGACAATATGCCACATGTACAAAGCCCATGAACCAATAGACAGGGTGGCTATGGCTCATGCAGCGCACCTGGCCAGTGAGGGCATGCGTCCTAGGCTCCCTGTGTTACAATCGAGGTGTGTTTTGGCACCCGCTGGCCACGTGTGCTGAAACCCATTCCTCTGCAAGTGTATAAATACTGGGTTTTTTCCGAAAAGCATCGGGCTGGTGTACGGTGAGGCCACCGTTGCCTCCGTGGGGATGCCCACGTAAAGCTGGCACCTACCAATTGCTGGGCTGAGCTCGCGGTGCAAGACGGCACAAGAATGTAAGGATGGTCCATCTTCCTCACAGTCCTCAGGTCGGTATGTTAATTTGCTTTACAGGATACCCTTAGCATAACGCACATCTGTAGTTAATAAATGCTTGCTTTTCCCCCTTATAGTCAGTGTGTGTGTGTTCACCTTCTCGGGAATCCTCGAAACCATCCTAAAACAATCCTTCGTTGTGCCTTTCAGTTTCTTGTGTTCTTGTTCAAAGAGCAAGAAGTATGCCAAAGCTGCACTGAGGCAGTCATGATCTTTGCTGAATCACGCTGTAGTAGGCAAAACTCTGAATTTGTCGTAGTAAGTCAGATTTGACTGATGTTTCATCTTTACTGTTGTTTTATTATTGCAGACCCTGGAGGTACAGTACAAACAGATACACAGTACTTGCCATGAAGGACCAGTAATAACAATCATTAAAGCTGTAAGGAACATTTTAAATCAAGGGATTTCATCAGAAGCCCTTTGGTGGCATGTTTTGTATAACACTGCTAGGAACACAGGAATTGGGAACATACAGCCATTCAGTAGTAGTAATTTACTGGGGACAGACAACAGAAGTGGCATTGAACTGCAACTGCTGATCAACGTAGAGAAGAATGAATTCTGAAACTAAAACCGAACTCCTTTGTGCCTGTAGAAGAATGTGTACTTGAGAGCTCTTTTCCTTCATTTAACTCTCTTTATGATACTCTCACTGGGAAGCAGTCATCTCTGCACTGCTCAAAGCCTGTTGTCCTGGAAATGGCTGATTTCACAAATTCAGAACCTAAATCTGGCCTCAGAGTAGCTGTCCTTTCATATCAAGTTTTTTCCCCACTGCTCCTGACTCACAGCTCCTGGAGCAGAGCTGGGGTGGAGGGAGGGAAAGCGGTGCCCGAGGCATAGTGTGCTGCTAGCCACCGAGTGAGAACAGGGTGCAACACAGTACAGTGATGCTTACATATGAGAGATGTCCCCAGTATAAACTAAGGCATCTTCATGGATTGCTTTAATTTACAGTCTGTGACCACCTTTTCCCCTGTCACAGTCTGCTTGCTAGTGCTTATCAGTAGGCCCAAAATGGGAGGACAGGTTTTGTACTGGGCTTGTCCTGTGTTCCATGTGGCACAGGGATAATGGTCAATTATTCTGACTTACGTTAGAAATTGGAGTCATGTAAAGCCTCCAGGATTGGCACTGGAAACTGCAAATTTGGTATAGTCAGAGCTGTGTTTAGTTCAAGAAAATCACAACTGTCAAGGCTGGAAAGTAGCTACATAATCTTTTTGGCCTGTGCTCTTGTTCATACAATGCCAAATTACAGGGGATTACCCCATGCCTGCATAAGGGGGAGAATCCTTTAGCACGGTTCCCCTGCCAGCACGGTGTACCGCAACAGCATTTGCCTACAGTAGACTAATTTACTTTCCATGTACTTTGTGTGGGTTGGCTTCTAACAAACAGCCTTGACAACATAGTCTTGGGGGCTGATAGTTGTAACAAGGATAATCCTGCACCAACCAGGCCAGGGAGATGAGTCAGGTCTGCAGCAAATCATACAGAGAGCAATAAAAATTAAAAAAATTGAAATTATAATGAAAGGTTGGACTTTCCCAGATTTGCAGTCCACACTGATATATATTTTCTGATATGAATGGCACTTCAGATTAAATCCATGTTTAACTTCAAAAATCTAGTGGACTTGTCCCCTGATGAATCGGTGCCCACAGCAGGGATGAGATGCTGGCAGTCCTGCAGTAAGTGGATATGGTGACCGGGCAGGGAGGGAGCACAGTACCGAAAAGCTGACGGGTTTACAGGGGCATTGAGCACAGGGCCTCGCTAGAAACCCTCTGCAAAGTCTGGTCCCTTTTGTCATAGTACAAGCCAGGAGCAGCTGGCCAGTGGATCGCCGGTCTGCCAAGTGGCAGCGCTCACACCGGGGGCTGGCACTTGGAACGCTACCCCATGCTGGGAATGCCCAAGAGGCAGGTGTCGTGGCGGGTGAGTCTGATGGAGAGCCAACTGAGCGAGTGTCGTTCACAGCGTGTGCGGCTGGTCAGCTGGAAACAACGTACAGAGTGAGCACTAGACACTGATGATCATGGAAAGCTGAGCTTTCATACAGCTTCCGAGGTTTAAATGCTTGTGTAAGTCCTGTTGAAAGCACAGGCTGAAGGACCTTGCTGAGCAGAGATACTAGTTACCTGTTCAAGAACGTTTTGTGTATCCTTTTCAAAGGATTTCTTACGGAAAATTGAAGCAAAATATTTCCAGTCTGCCAGGGATATTTACACAGTTTACTTAATGGAAAGTTCCATGAGAGATCCCTTTATTTTTCCTAAAGCGCCAGGCTGGTATTTGCACTTTTATTACTGTTATTACAACATTATTCAGAAGTCCTAGGCAGAACTAGTAAAAAATAATTGAAAAACCAGCTATGACAACAGAGAAAGTAGAAATTATGTAGATAGGAAGACAACTACTGTCCTGTAATTTACAAAATATAATCATGATCTATTTTCACTTGCTCTTTACTATTCAGAGGCCTGATCTGACAACTAGTGAAGTTTGAGAAAACGCCTCTGATTTCTGTAGGAACATGATCAGGCTGTAAATGCATGCTTCATTAGGGAAAACACCTGAGGACTGTGGTATCTTCTATCAAAATAAATAACTTTTTCTCACAATAGGTAATTAAGTGATAAAAGAGTCACTACTACTCAATTCTGCAGTTTAGTCACAAGCCTTCTAAAACCTGAAGTACCGAAAAGGCTCCGATTTGATGATGGCACGCTGCAAGCTCTATCTTTTGAGTGAGAGTTGAAGGTTAAATATAGTACCAAACTATGCCCGATGCTAGTGACAAAGTCCTTTGTATGGCTCTTCCCAAGAGGTGTACTTATGTAGCTATTCCTTGGGGCTAAGACATAATCTTTCAGGGTTGCTTGTCACAAATTTGTCCTCGTGTCATACATTCATCCCTTTTTGCAGAGTGTGATTAAGGATGTGCAGAGCAAGTCCTTCTGCAGACAAATGGTGTGATCCTTGCTACATGAGGGGTGTCCCATTTTAATTGTCAGGACAGACGTGATTTTCATTTTCCTCCATTATTTGCCTGTGCCCATAATCTGCTGCTCTTACATTCTGCAGCCATGTCTCATGTCTGAGGGTGAACACAGGGATATCCATCTTGAAGAGTGATTGTTCAGCCATTGCCAGTGCTTCCCTCTCCGAGCTGCTGTGCTCATATTAAACAGAGGCCCTCCATCTATTGTAAAGCTTGCACAAAGGTGGCACATGCATGTGGAATATGTAGCTAATTTAACAACAAGCCATCTTCGGTGTGGCGTCAAAGTCTTGCAGTGCCTGTGAATTATCACTTAGGCAAATTTTAGAGCCTCAGGTTGCATCCTTAAACTGTTTATTTTATTGCACTGTCCTCACAACTGTACTGCCTAGAAGAACTTTAAACTCACAGATACTTTAATCTTCAGATTAAAATCATAAGGGAGTATCTTTTTCGTGTGAGACTCTAAGTGCATTAATAACTTGTGCCCAGAACCTGCTTGCCACAGTCTCGCTGCCACCCAGAGCACTGTGCTGTGCTTAGTGCACAGATGAGTATCTTGCCCTTAGCGAGAGAGACAGAGCCAAGAAGTACTGTTGGTAGTCTGGAGTAGCTGATGTTTTCCCGTCTTGTGTAAATTCTGCTGAAGCCAGAGTTTGAACTGAAGGCTGACTGAAATGGTGGTTTTCTGGCAATGGAGCACTTTTTGTGAGTGAAATAAAGGACAGGTGACAGAAGAGAGAAAATGAGGACCAGAAAATGCTGCTTCTTCAGCAAAGATTTTCTTTGATTACCACCAGAGTATTTTATAAGCTAATTCAAAATGGTGGCACAGAGCCTGTGGCTATGTCATTTCAGGTGCATCCTTATGCTCCCATTGTCATATACGGTGTTGGCACCGTGACCAGGCTGCAGCTGGTGCGATACACTGCTCTGTCCTTCTCCAGGAGGGAGAAGTGCCTGTGATGAGATAGCCTCTGTCAAGGAAGAGCAGAAGGCACTCGAGTTCTGCCTTTCGTAAGGGACTCTTCTTGAAGGGTTTACTTTCCACTGAAATATTTCCAGAGTATTCAGTTTTATTTCAGGCATTTATGATTTTGAGGGGGTAATGAAATTTCAGCATTTTCCAAAGATCAGACACATTTCTTAAAACTTTCCTTTAATTGAAATCCCATTCTTTCATTAAAAATGTTCTGATGGAAAAATTTTCCTGCAGATTTTTCTGAGTTTTTTAGGGTATGCTCTGTCCCTTCTGCAGAGCAAGTGGTAGTGCCAAGCTCCTGCACCCACCAGAGATGGGATTTTGAGCTCTGCATCCAGGCAGTTAGGCTGAAGAAATTAGCTTTATCTTGCAGTCAAGGAGCAGGCATTTGTTGCAGGTCCCTCCCTAATACCTTACGGAAATGACCCAAAGGGCCTGCAATGGAATGAAACTCATTTACGATTCAGGCCTGAGAAACCCTAAAGGTCATGTAGCAGCATAGGGATAGGCAGAAGGCACATGCCTTTGTTAGCCTTCCTTAACAACCTGATTTCCCAGTAGGTATCAAGGCATCCAATAAAATAAACTGAAAAAGAATGCCCACAACACATACGGCATCAGTTACTCTTTATTTAGCTTTGCTTGTCAGTCACACTCGGCAGCTTTTCCAACATAATGAGAAGTCTGGTAATTTTGGCACTCTGGGGCATTTTCTTTCTTTAAGCATGGAAGGAACGGAATTGGGGCCTTTTGTGGTAGGTGCACAGATGTCGTGCTGTCATTTAAAAGTAATACTTCACTCAAACAAATTGTCTTGGTAAGAATCCATGTTTGCTTTTGTTTTGAGGTGAAGGAAGCTTCGCCTGAACCACAGATGGTGTTTACAGCTCGTCATGCAGCTATCGCTTTCCAGACAGATGGAGAAACATGGAGAGAACAGAAAGAGAAAAAGGCAGCTCTGATGGTTGGCATCTTAATTGGAGTTTTTGTACTGTGCTGGATCCCTTTCTTCATCACAGAATTAATAAGTCCCCTCTGTTCCTGCAACATCCCACCCATCTGGAAAAGCATCTTTCTTTGGCTTGGCTACTCCAATTCTTTCTTTAATCCTCTCATTTATACAGCATTTAACAAAAATTACAACAATGCCTTCAAGAACCTTTTTGTAAAGCAGAGGTAAAAGGGGACACAGAGGAGAAACTGATTCCTTTATTGCATAATACAGAGATTTCTGGAGCCAAATATGCCTGTGATACATACCGTTTTCATGCACAAGAGCTGTTTGAGAGGATGTAGGAAGTGAAAAAGAAGACAGAAGATGTTTGGATATAAACCTACTGAGAGCTTACAGCTCCCCTTTGGAAATACATATATGCTGCTCCAGGGTTTGGCAAAGAAGATGGAATCAGTGAATACCTCCTGTCTGCTCTTTGAATCAACATGTGTTAAGGTCAGCAAGCCAAGCACTGTATGCGTCTAATACCATGACTGTCAAATCTAACTGGACTGATCTCATCTAATCAAGCTACAGGTACCATGCTGTAGCTCTCTCATCATTAGCAAAGGCACCAGTGGGAACTGCTAATTGAGCAATACTGAAATGTTTGTGATATGGGCAGGATACTGGCTTAATTTTTGAGATTCATTTGGAAGGGAATAAACATGCTGTATTGAATCAGTTGTTGAATTGATGTGAAATTAAAATGGATGACTAAGCAGCTCAAAAACATGCCCTAGTGTGACTGAAGGGCTGCGTGTTCTCTAGCAAGCAGCAGTCCTTGATGGGAAGTCTTGGTGAAATAGAGGTCAGTTATGTCCCCTGCGGTTAAGTGAAATTTCAGAGCCAAGTGTACAATTATTTAGAGCTACTGAGAATGTGCTCGCACTGCTTGCACCGGAGGAGGATCGAGCGAGGAGTTTTCACCTGCCTTGCACTCTCTCACTCTGCAGGGCTCAGGCTTTCCCTGTTTTCTGAAACCCAGGTGAGCTCAAGATAGGCACCTGATACCTCCAAGTGAAGGGGGACTGTATGGATTATTATTTCATGCTACCATAAAACTAAGCATCCATTTGTGTTACAGACACCAAACATGTTGTATTCAGTCACCAGGTTTGCTGGCAGCAACACATGGCTGCTTGGCAGTGGTAGGTGAGTACCTGCGCTGCCCTGTCTGGGGCCCTTGCACCATAAATGTTGTGCTCATCACCCTACCTGAGTAAAGTCCACAATTTGTCAGCTTGCATCAACTTCCTCCTACTGTAAGAAAGGTATTGATGCCATCAGGTCTAAGTGACACCAGAAACTCCAAAGTGACTCAAAACCAAGCCTTAAATTGCTTTTCCAAGATCTAACAAACCCCCCTGTCCCAACAATATATACATAAATAAATTAAAAGGTAAGTATTCCCATGCATGCTGCCAAGTGTCTCTCTCCATATTCGTTCCTCTAGTGGGTTTTACTTCCTCCCCTTCCCTGAGGGGGGGATGCTGAGAGCATCTCTGAGTATGTCTATCATGGCAACTTTATATTGACACCCTCTCCCATCTCCTCCTAAAGCTTCTTTAGGTACTGTAAGGGCAAAACATCATAGCTCTGATGGGGCTGGGCAACATCACAACTCCTTTTGAAGCTGAGGTTTAACCTTTTATACTGCCTTTCTCTGCCAGTTTTGTGTTTTCTGCTGCTTAAGCAACCCTTTGATTCAAAGCATACCCTCAGGCAACTAACACAAAACTGCACAGAATGACTAAAAGTCACATATTTCAGCTCCAGCAGTATACACCAATGGCATCTTGATCTCGCTGCGGTGCATCACACTCAGCCTCATCTCTGACAGTTACCAAGCTAACGGGCATTGCATCGACGTGAGTGCTGACCGCGAAGCTGCTACCAAAGTCTTAGTATCCTGGCAGTCTCTCACAGGCAATGGCAGCTAGGTGTATTTCTGTCAGCTGGGGACTGACGTACTTAACAGCCGTGTCAGAGAGGTATTATCAAGTAGCTTGTGTAGTCTGAAAACAAAAAAAATGATGCAGCCTTTACTTGCTTAACTTTAAAGCACAGTTTACTGCAGTGTAGCCTAAAATGATTCATGTACCTGGTGGTGTCAGACTGAGCTTAATGTCAGGTACATGGGCAACTTAGACCCAAGCAAGTTCCAGCTCCTTTCCAAGTAAGTAAGTGATTTAAACAAGTGCCATCAAAGCATACATTCCTCCACTTCCCTAAGGGAAGCACCTGGCCTCATTGCTCTAGCTTGGTGTATGGTGAGATCAGGCACTGCTGTACTTCACACCCTGCAGTACTGTGAAATTCCAGTGTGACCGGCCACGTCTGCAGCCACAGCCACCTGTGTATCTTATGTACCTGCAGAGGATGCTTCTCCTCTCAATTTCAATGAGAATTAAGAAATTTTAACAACCTAGAATTTCAAAGAGTTGTTAGATAGTGGCTCAGACTTTTAAATACCACCTTAAGTAATACTTTCTCTTGTGACTCTCAACTTGCCTACATATGGAATAGCTACAGTTCAAACTAGTGTTTGGAGGCTTAATTAAACCAGAAGGAAGACAAATACATAAGAGTCTAAAAGTTACTAAAACATGCAGGCCTTATTCAGAAACACTGATAAATTTTTCAAGTGAATTGAATTTTTCATGCAAGATGATAGTCACTGCTCTAAAAACCTTAAAATCCAAATAGATAACATGGAGGGAGAAAATGAAGAGGTCATCTTAAGCTGGTTGTTGAAAAGCATACAAATCTCCTGCATGTGGCCACTCCTGAAGTTTCCAGTGACCACGCTGTGGCCAAATTTTAGTGCCTGTACCCTATCTGCTTGGTAAGACAAGCCATTACCAGCACGCAAATCTTAACACCAACCCTGCTGCGCTGAAGTTAAGGCACATCACCGTCTGTGGCTGCAGCAGCGGAGAGATCTGCTCCAACTGTACGTGCCCGCTGACTGGAGGAACACCAGGCTCTGGTTCTGGTGCGGGAACCCTTCCAAGAAGCAACACAGATTTTGAAGGTATGTTTTACCAGGGCTTGGCACCCAGAACTGGAGAACATACCATAAAGGCAGAACGCTACTGGGCAGTACAGTGTAGCTGTACGCTGCGCTGCTACTACTGCAAGTGCTGAAGATGCCGCAGGGCTGTCTTCAGCTAGCTCGAGAACTGGTAGCAGGGCTACCGATGTAGCCTGCAGTGTAGCTCTCCACCTCCTCAAAGATGAATTTAGCTTCCTTAGAAGGTGAATGTGAGCCTCTGTAATTTTACTGTGAGAAGTTCTCAAGACAACTAGGTTAGTGCTCTGCCCACTCAAGCATCTGTGACAGCAGTGAGTTGTTACAGAATGACAGGCTTCCACCGAGAGCAGCCTGGCTTCATACTCGCCCAGAAGCGATGAGAAACAAGTGGAGCTTTCATTTCACTACAGTGCAGTTTTAGAAAGCTCTTAACAAAATTGGCTTCCCACGCTGGCTCTGTGCATGTCTGTGTTTAGAAGAGCAGTGGCACATACTCAGGATTTAAAATCCTGCATTTTAATCACATGGAATCTGAGATTAGTGTAGGGGAAAGAAATATGTTATCTGGGGTTACTGCCTAACCTGCTGGATGCTGCTTCCCGCTTAAAGCCAGAAAAGGCATTACCATCCCTGGCCTTCTGCACAGCAAGCACAGGGATTTACCACGGATTTCTGTGCCAAACCCAGTAACTTGGTGCAATGGGAGCATAACTGTTGGATAGTCATCAACCTTGATTAAAAAAAGTTGGAACTGTGGATAATTTTTTACTTCCCTTGGTACTTCATTTCTGTGATTAATTACTCTCATTATTAAAACTTGCAACTTGATTTTAATTGAAAAAAGAGGAAAGAGTAAAATCAAGCATGCACGCACTCCTCTTTCTGGCACTTCAAGCCTTAGAATTTAGATCTTATGTTATTCCTGTATTGTTATCCTTGGCTGCAAGATGGACCAAAGAAAATACGGAAAGTACAACTCGCATGTGAACTAAAATAAGTGATGGAATATCTTGAATATCCAAATAGGAAAAAAAATAATCAGCTATTCTAAAGAAACATCATTTGGCAGTGCTTAGACGTATGGTCATTTATTTCCCCAAATAGAAGTTGCCAGTTTAGAGTACCCCAGTCACCTCTGCTTGTGCAGTGAACTGCTAGTTTTAATTTTATTTCCCGACACTGTATCTGCTCCTAGAAGAACTCACTGGAGACTATTGCTCAGCAGAAAGGCATGGCTGTGTCCTGCAGCAAGGCTCTGAGAACCCTGCAGCTATATTGAAATTAAGGCCTCGCTTTGTTGTGCTGTTGGAATCCACAGATTGTGCAGAAATCAAAGAGCCTGGTGAAGCTTTTTTTGAAGATGAATGTGAACAGAAAATGCTAGTAACTTTCTATGCTCCTCCCCTCCTCAAGAGACCCACATCCATGCCACAGCTTCCACAATGAAAGCTCTTCAGTAATAATTATTGCACCCAGGAGTTCCTCATCTTTCAGCGGTCCTTCAGTCTCCCCTTCTAAACAGCAGTTTTACACAAGAATTCCCAAGCCCTTCCTACATGAAGACTGATGCAAAAAAGAGATGAAGGGTCTGGCCCTGAGGATACACGTTGACAAACCCCTGTGAGCAGCACCACATAAGCTAGTCTACACCACAGTCACCGAGACACCCGCTATTAGGAGCGGGTGATTAGGGGAACGTGGTGCTGGGCACGAAGCAGCCACCAGCCCTGCCTGAAGAGCTGGTAAAGAGGCAGCGCCTGCCTCCAGCTCCAGGGACCACAGCCTGTGCAGCTCCGATGCCAGCTGCCGGGGTTTGCACGGGCTGCAGCCGTGGCTGTGTAGGCACTGCATGAATAAACAGTGTTCATTAATTTTTTTAGATAAAAGACTATCCTAAGAGTATGTCATCCACCATCCAAACGAGTAAGATTTGTATATCGCCTTGTACGTGTGACCTACTTACATGCCTAATATAGCAAAGCTGGCTCTAAGGAGGTGGGTGTACCAGCAAAGCACAACTCTCCAGCTGTCTGTTTTGCATGAGTACCAGCAGCTATACAAAGCGGGACCTAAAAGAAGTAACACCCTTTCTCTCATGCAAGTGATTTTATGTTTCGAAAGAAATTTCAACAAAGTTTTGCTATCTCCT